CTAGAAGGTCTACAGCTAAGCTTCCGGAACTCACTAAGACTCCTACGCTATAGACCTACAGATCGAACCCCTGCTGCCTATGGACCTACGACAGGCCTACCAACTGCCTACGAATACACAGGTCACAGGTTCAATTCTCGTGGTCTACACAGATACTGTACATGGGTAGGGTGAGGTCTAGGGATCGAACCCTGGGTACTGCATCCGCTACTGCTAAAAGGTGAAAACCGTTTTATCTGTTCTGATTATTTAGTTTTTCAAAGGGCATTATAGCTCGTAACGGCATTGTGCCCAACAGGGGATTCGAACATGGAATCTGTCTTATATATCTGTTGATGCGGAATTGAACATGTGGTGTGAATCGTCGCTCAGTCTCCAGGCAGGTACAGTGTCTACGACTCGATGACGATCCTTGTTTTTTTTTTTTTTTTCCCCTTTGAAGGTTTTAGGAGAATCATCCCTATTTGGTACCATTTTATGATGACCTTTCAAATTATTATTTATCAACTTCTCGACAATTTAATCCGTAACAAATCTTGATGACGATCGTGATGGGTACAACATCACTCTGTGAGTCTGTGTGTTTGTTTTTGTTAGTACGTATCGGTACAAGTACGTATCAGTAATTGACATTTGGTAAGAATCATTGTCGTGAATCCTTTCCATGTATTTGTCCAGGTGAAGACAGGGATGCTCCTCAATGGAGACGTTGTCCGTGCAGTGAGTGACACTCTAAGGAGACATCATCGTGGAGGTGAGGACTGCCAAAGTGCAGTGCTCAGAGCTGTAAACATAGGCCAAGCTCATTGCACAGACTGAGGGCAAAAACACACCAGGGATGTCGTGAACGTGTCTACTGTCTTTCCCTGGATAGAATGTACGGTCGTTCTCACTGTATCGACACTGCAAGTTGCCCTAAATACAGCTTTAGTGACTGTACATCTAGGTTACCAGAGTGGCCGGGGACACCTGCCCGGCCGGGCCAAAACAGGAAAATAAAATGTTGAGGGTTCAGCCTCCTGATGAGTCGGTGAAACTCCGATGAAACAGTTTGCCACAGCCCCTCGTTGGTTGTCCTCTTCTCCCTCTCTGCCTACGGTTTACCGGGCAGCTCTGTTTGACGATATGCATATGAATTTATAAACTGTCGGCAGAGAGGGAGAAGAGGACAACAAACAAGGGGCTGTGATGAGTCGGTGAAACTCCGATGAAACAGTTTGTCACAGCCCCTCGTTTGTTGTCCTCTTCTCCCTCTCTGCCGACGGTTTNCCTCGTTTGTTGTCCTCTTCTCCCTCTCTGCCGACGGTTTACTGGGCAGTTCTGTTTTACGATAAACAAGGGGCTGTGATGAGTCGGTGAAACTCGAGTAAACCGTCGGCAGAGAGGGAGAAGAGGACAACAAACAAGGGGCTTTGGCAAACTGTTTCATTGGAGTTTCGCCGACTCATACGCTGAGTTCTGTTGAGTTCTCTCTTCTTTTTTTCCCTTTTTTTTTTCTTTTCAATCTGGACCATATCTCGATTTATGCGTGTCATCCTTGCGCAGGGGCCATGCTAACCTTCTCTGTATCGTTCCATGTCCCAAGGACAGGGTTCTGTTGAGTTCTATTCATACTTGCGGCGCATACGTGCGGTGCGCTGATCGCAGATGCACGAAAAAAAAGAAAAAAAGGAAAAAAGAAGAAGCAACCATGATGGGTGTATACAGACTGGAGAGAGAGAGAGAGAGAGAGAGAGAGAGAGAGAGAGAGAGAGAGAGAGAGAGAGAGAGAGAGAGAGAGAGAGAGAGAGAGAAGAGCCCTTTGGCCCCTTTCACAATATTCCGAAAACCCCTGCCCGCACTTCAAAAGTTCCCTGCCAACTTAGCAAGGATCTCGTCAGCAGTAGAAGGGTAGTTGCTGGGCTTGTAGTAAGGAGGGAGCAGGCCAGCTATATATGGTGTAGCTTCGAATTCAGGTCTGTGTTTCAGCAGTTATGGGTTACTGACTTGCTAACTGGGCAGGTGATTTTCAGGGCTTCACTCCACTACTCACTGTATGTGCAAAACTACAGTAGAATGAATCTTCTCCTAGAAACTGGAACCATACAAGCCATACGTTTTTCTTTTCTGCAAGTGCTGATGAGTGGAGCGAGGCCCTTAGTGTTACGGACTCAGCCAGGGCTCGATCCCTGGTCCGCGGGGTACCACCCGCCAGGCTGCTATTCTATTTTTTTAGGAGTTTCTGATCCCCGGTTCCTGACTGTTGGCGCCGTCTGCAGTTGGCGCCCGTTCTCAAGTCCCGCCTCTGCCACTTTCGGATTTCGTACTTGGCGCCATCCGGCATTCTGGCGCCCAGGCTCAGACCTTCGATTTTCAGTTCAGCCCTGAGGCAAATTGCACTTTTGCCCTTGGACTCAACTCGAGTCCGGTACTTAAGACCAGACTCAAGCTGAGTTCGGGGATGCAGTTTTCGGCCTCAGTGCTTGTGCTTCAGTGTGACTTGCTGCGACATTGTGTACGGAACCAAGAGACTTTGCCACTTTGCCACTTTGTGTCCGTGTCCGTCGAGTCGTGTCGAGTCCGTGTCGAGTTGAGTGAGTGTGTGTGTGTGTGCTCTCACTCCCTCCCTCTCTCTTCCGCGACCTCGCTGCTCTGCCTCAGCCCCATCACACTGGTATCAGAGGGGCGTCGATCGCCCTCCCGCCCACCCTGATCGACGTGGAGCAGCCACCGCTCCAGGCCTTCATCGTCATCATCATCTTCGTCATCGACGTTGGGGCGCCATCCCCGTTGTGGCCATCTTCGACGCCGGCATTGCCACGTCATCATCGTCTTCATCAGTGCCTCATCGTTGCCATGTCAGCGCCTCGTACCCGCTGTCGCTGCCATCGCCACGTCAGCACCTCGCTACCTTCATTGTCGCCGCTGCCACGCCACCGATCCCGAAGTCGACGCGCAGGTAAGTGACCAATAAACTTTCTTTTTCTTCCCCCTCTTCTCCTTCCTCGCTTCTTCTCCTTCTCCTTCCTCTTCTTCCTCGCTTCTTCTCCTTCTCCTTCCTCTTCTTCCTCCTCGTCGACGTCATCGTTTTCCCCCCTCGCAGCTACTTCCCCGCGCGACTGTCGTCATCTCCCCGCACCCTCCCCCGTGCGATCCTCTTCTTCTCATCCCTCCCCAACTGCGATCCTCCCCCGACTCCCCCC